AATATATTTTAAGTTATAAAATTTATATTTTGTTTATTTAAATGAAGATTATAAATTTAGCTTATTCGAATTAATTCAAAAATATCTAATAAATCGTATAATTATTGTGTTTTAATATATTTTCTATTATTTATAAATTATATAATTTATTTCGATTTAATTCGAATTATCCTGAAATATTGCGAATTGTATATGATTAATTTGAATTTATTAGCTTTTCTTTTTCATTAGTAGCTATCTTTTAGTTTATAAATATTTTTGCTATTTTGATGTATTTATGTCTATTCAAATTGTTTCGAACTAATTTGAAATATTGCGCAAAATATTATGTAATATTGCGCTATAAGTTTCGTAATTTTGCGTAATATATTTCGTAATTTTTCATTATTTATTGTACAATATTTCGCAACTTTTTGTGCAATATTATGCCCAGACCGTAATTATTGCACAATATTTCGGGCCATAATAACTTACGTAAAATTACATTAATATATTTCACTGATATAGAATAGATAAATTTATAAACAAACCAATTATGCTTACTTGTAGCTGAAGTTGCAGGAATTGACAAGACCTTACATACAACTTGGCTCAAAACTAGATACTGCATACCTAATAAATTCCACTAATTAATTAGTTTTAAAATAAGATTTTCCCACAGATACTTTTTTGCAAAACCTTCTGATTTTCTAATATATTCTGCCAATTCTTCTAATACTTTATCTTCATTACCAATATTTGCAATTCACATTACTTTAGTATTTATCTTATCTACTCATACTGTGAAATCAAGATTTTCCCCATAATATCTTGGGTCAAAAACATATGTGACAATAATTGTTGGGTTATATAAAAAATTCACCTAGCAATTTTTTGCGGCTTGTAAAGTATTTTTGTGTAATTTAGTTGAAACTTGTAAATTTGTCATAAATTTATTTTTCAATTCTTGTAATGTTTTATATACTGAGGAAAGATATAATTCATCTCCTTCTAACTGTTTTATAAAAACAATAAATGGCTTTAAAAAATTACAGAGGTTCTTAAGGTCTGTCCAAAAAGTATAATCTATTATAATAGCTTTAATATTTTTATTAATTTCAGCACTATTATTAGCTACTATGGCATATATCACAGCTAGAATTTATAGAACATGATCAAGACATTCAAAAGCTAATATCTCATCTAGTATTGATGGTTAATATAAGTGCAATTTCGACATTATAAATTTCTTTCTGCAAATAATTAAGAATTGCTATAGGAATTTGGTAATTATGAAAATATAAAGCTAATTTTTTAGTTTTTTTTTAGAACTTGTAATGCCATTAATTCTTTAAAATGTCTTTAATCCAAAGATTAATTCTGTATACTCAATATCTAAGAAATACCTTATTCGGATATTTATTTTTCAAAATATTCCACGTGGCTTTCATATTGTTTGTGTTATCTGTAATTATACTAACAAATTTATTTATTCCAGCTTCTTGTATTATATTATTGATTCTTCTAGTAATATTTTCTGCAGTATGGTGTTTGTCTTTAGTACAAACCGACTTATAAAAAATCAGATCAGGTATTATATAATTTATTACTGAAGACTTATTGATATTTGACTAACTATTACTTATTAAACAATAATAAGATGTTTTATCAAGAATAGTTTGAACAACTTCTTGTTGATTTTTATATTCTTTATTTAGAAGTGAATTAGAAAGAATATGATGCAATGGTATATTAAAAAAGGACAAGCTTTTTTAAGAAAAGCTTGAAAATCCACATTTTTTACTATGCTAAATGAAGCACCTGATGTATAAAAGATGTGTGCAAGTAAAGTTTCCAATTCAATTTGGTCTTGCTTTGTAAAATTATCTAGTTTTAAGAGTTTTTGTTTTTTATTAATATTTGAAGATTTATTTGTCTTGCACAAAGTGCATGTGTCTAAGTATTCTTGTAATCGAGTGGTATTTTTTGCCCAATCATTACCACATGCCTTGCATTTGTAACATTCTTTACCACTTTTGTCAATAAACATAGTATATTTGTCCCATATGTTGGTATTTTTGGTTCGAACCATTCTTTATTGTGTTATAAACTAATTTTTCTAAAGATATATAATTTACCTTTTATATAAGTGTACAAACGAACAAATATAATAGACTTCTTTATTACACAATAATTACAATTAATTTGATATATGAAATCCTGAAATCGAACCGATAATGTAATTTAATTTATGACGTGCTATCATTGTTATTAAGAATTACTTGTATCAATATTAAAAAATTGGCCCGGATTCAATACACCAGCATTATAAAATTAGCCTACGTTATGACTTGATTAAAATTACATGAAATTTTGATTTCCGAAGATTACACAAAATTTCGTAAAATAACGGTAATTTTCCATCCCTAGGTATAATAAGCTAATACTTGTTAGCCCCTTTACTAAAAAAAAAACTCCGATTAATATTATTAGTTCTAACCTGAATAGACGAATCCGAACCTCTTAACATGATTTCGGAACCAAACTTGTATTTGAAATTTTTGGATTATAGCCAAAATTTTGTTGTCTCATTAACACGCGAATAATATATCGCCGGGCCTTTTTCAAAAAACTAAGACGCATGAGTGGTGAATTAGCCAATCAAAATCAAACTTTCACGTGATTCTTGGCCAATCAAATCAGCAGCATTCACGACAGGAAATGATCATCAATCACATTTTTATGACATGTTAGTCTACTTCATACGCGTACCGGTATGATTCAAAAATTTTCATTATGGAATGTGAACCGCGACTATTTAAACCACTTGTCCCAGCTCCGGCAGGCTGCGAATGCAGCAATTCTGTTTGTAAAGTAAGGACGGCTTCTGCTTGGCGCAGGAATCCAGCGGGTGGGTGGTTGTGCAATGCGTGTGGTATCTTGTAAGTGCAAATTTTATAGATAATTTGATCATTTACACGAAGAGTAAAATATCGATTACATTGTAATTATATTAACAGCTTTAAGACAAGAGGTTTCCATCGACCTCTTAGCGTGATAGAGATGAATAGAACCGCCAAGGTAGGCGATTAGATATTTGAACATATTTATAATGCTACAATATATCCTCGTGTCATTATTTGATTTTACTTCATCAATATAGCGTAGAGACACTGAACTTGCAAAAGCAAGCCAAACTCCAAGAGTTAGAAGGAAGATACGCCGAAAGGTAATGACATGGATCACGTAATACGCTTACCTTCGAACACTGATGATTAATTGGCATCATATTTGTTAACAGAAGAGAATCAAAGAAAGCACTAATGTTAAAATGCCGGAATCATCTCAATTGGAATTAGAAGAAGTCCAAGCATATAACGATGAGCCATTGCCCTGGGAACAAAAAGATTATTTGAAATGTGGATTATACTCTATTGATCTTAAACTAAACGATCGCGAAAAAAGTTTGAAGGGTAAAGATAAGGTGACAACCTCGGAATTATTTCCACTCCCTACACAATATGGCCAATTTCTTATAACGGATCAGCGAAATTTCTGCCTACCATGGGATATAATGACTGCTCATAAGCAAGGGTTACTACAAAGAGGATTTAAAAATATTAAAACTAGTATTTTCAATTTATCAATTTCATTTGTTTCAAAAAAAAAGGAATTTGAAGATTAATTTTCGATTTATTTTCAGATATATTTGTTGATCGTAAGCGCAAACAAGATGATGAGCCAATCGTTTGCAATTGCAAGCCATGCGGTGAGGGTGAAATTGGTTGCGCCGAAGAATGCGTTAACAGGTATAAGATCATTTAATTTTTCAAATTTTTCAAATTTATTTTATAATTAACTCAATAAATTTTAAGGATAATGTTTTACGAATGCTCTCCAAAATATTGTCCTTGTGGAGAACAATGTTCTAATCAAAGATTCCAGAGGAAAGAATCAGTTAAAAAAGTAAAGGTGTTTAAGGTATATACATATATATATATTTAACTCGATTGCATTAAGAGAATCAGTGACTAGTTTACCATGCTTATTTTTGTGATTATATTCGGTTATTTGGCCTTTTGGCAATTGTTGATGATTCAGACTAAAAACAGAGGATTTGGACTTCGCACACTCGATATAATTAAAAAAGGTCAATTGATTTTAGAATATCGAGGCGAGATTATTTCTAAATGTACGGCCAGAAAGAGAATGGAGGCCAAGTATTTACATAGGAAGAGTGTATACTTCCTTGAATATGGCAAAGGTGAAGTTGTCGATGGTGCCGTGTGTGGAACGTTAGCTAGATTTATTAATCATAGGTAAGATCTAAATATATATATATATTTTAATGCCAAAAAAAAAAAAAGAAACAAATCTTTTAGATCTTAATTTTCTCTTGTAATTAAGCTGTGCACCGAATTGTCACATTGAAAAGTGGTATGTGAGAAGTTGCTAAATAACTAATAATTGCACGTTATAGATTGTACATTAATTTAATGTTTTGCTATTGATAGGAGAGCACCAAACAGTGAACATTTCATTGGCGTATTTGCTTCGAATGACATAAAACCGGGAACTGAATTGACTTATGATTATAACTTCTCCACATTCGGCGGCGCTCAAGAACAAGAATGTTTTTGTGGGGCACATAACTGTCGTGGTTGGATAGGTGGAAAGCATCGATCAACAAATATAATTGTGCGCGAATAGCAAGCTAACAAACGCTATATATCGTGAACCTGGATTAATTTTTTAAAATATTCAATTTATTGGTGAAGCCACGTGACAATAGTTGGTTTTTTTTTCAGTTGCAGTTGATTCCTCTAGAATGAAGTAAGGGGTAAAAATATGTGGCACATAATTCAACATTGCCATTTATTCGAGTTTTGGATTTTTTTTTTTTTTTTTTTTTTTTTTTTTAAATGTAAGTTTTAACAGTACATCTGTTAAAAATCAATAAAAAAATCAATAAATAGATGCATCATTTGCTTTTTCGCATAACAGTATTGGATAACAATAATCTTAAAATTTATTTAAGTAGCTAATAAGCGAGATAAGGCGGTGGATAATTAGCATGCATGACTTGGTAAGCCATCAAACTTTGAAATGGTGCATTATAATCTAGTGTCACCTGATATTTAATCGAAAGGAAACAGAATTAAACCAGGATGCTAAATTAATCATTAAACATATTAAATTATAAATTATGAACGAACCTCTGATCTGGCATAATCTTCCCTGTCATCATTATATTTGTCCTTTTTGTCTGGTCCTCCAACAACAGCGCCGTACAAAACATATTTTGACACTGGCGGATGACGTATATTTCCGATATCTGTCCCTCCACTTGCACCAGCATGATGTGGGTTCTTTGGCGAACTATGATGTGCACCGACAACATAAACTTTATTCAGTGGATTCCTTCCCAACAAATAATCAACTTGTGATAACGCAAAATTCGTATATGACTTAGTTTTATCTGATGTTGTGGCATGGCGTGCATAAACAAGTAATGCGAATGAAATATTAAGCGACACATTTAACGAAGCACTATCGCTATCACCTTTAAGCCATAATAATCCACCCTTTGTAAGATGACACTCTTTATGCCTTTGGTTCACCATTCCATCCAAATACTTTTCGGCTTCTGCCTTCCAGGGTGAACAATCTCTTCCTACCCTTTCCGTAAGCATAGCCAATAAAATATAATTAGAGCCTGAATGATCATCCCAATTAATTGCACTAGTCCATTCATCTTGTGAAAATTCGTAAAAATAATGTATTGCTCTATCTAAATAACCAATTTGATTAGTTGCTTGAAACAACCATAATGCCGCGAAAACCAATTTATCGTCATAACGTGAGGATTCATATGCTTCTTTGGCTTGTGGAACAGCAACAGTGTACACTTGATGTGGTTTTATCTCTGCAAAATTGAAAAGATCCACGGCGTGTTGAAGTAACGAATTGGCATAGTCTGGTTGATTAAATTTTGTACGGAACAAAAGAGATGCCGATGCTAATGCAGCAGCAGCTTCTGCTGCTACATCCGTACCATGACGCGAAGCATCAATGCAGAATGATGGCCGAGGATATGGCATACTATTAATTTTGTATACAGATTTATGTAAATATGAATATATATAATCTGGGATCTGGATAATGTTTCGGGCGAAACCTAAATTTGCAGATCATTTGTAGATCGAATTGTGCGAAACTAGTTTCGGGATTTCGGAGGTTTTCGAACTTATAGTGTAAAACTTCCGGCGATTTTGAAAATAGTTTCGCTCGAAACATTATATATATATTTTTTACGAAATATAAAAAGAGATAATAAGTACCCGGTATCAGGACCCCAATAATCATGATCCACTGTGTCTATACCCACCTCGGCGTACAGTACGGTGGGTGAAGGATGAGCTTTAAGCAACCAATCGGTGCCCCATTTGACCATATCGTAAAGGTGTCCGGTCTGACCTGATAATTGATACCCCTCAAACCACTCAAGAGCACCCCATGACACAATCGTTAAAGACCATGATAACGGTAATGTGAATTTTAAGTAATCGCCTGATTTAACAATTTATTAATAATGGGTAAGGATAGATTCGGTGAATGTCAAATATTTAAATTTCTTAAAAACGCACCTGCATCGTAATATCCCTAAAATGTAACAAGTAAATAAATATGAAAATGATTTGACAAGTTGCAAACTGCAAATCGTAATCATAACTGTTAGTATTCACCCCTGTGAGATCTAGTCCAACATCATGGCCGTCGGTAAGCGCAGAATTATGTCTCCTAATTTATGATAAAATATGAAAATTCTTTCAATGTTTACACGTCGAATAACACACGTAACATGTAATCAACTTATTAAAGTACCATGGTACCCTATTATTTGCAGGTAAAACACCACTCCTTTGGGCTTCAAAGAAGTACAAAGAATGACCTAATAATTTAGAGTATTCATTTCCATTTTGTGGTATACCAGGAATATTGTCACAAGAAAACGACTGTGCATTTGTCGAAGTAAACGTTTGTGCATTTGTCGAAGTTAACGGTTGTGCGTTCGTCGAAGTTAACGCTTGTATCGTTGCCTGAAAAGGCTTTTGCGATTCTTTCAAATTTTTTAAAAACGATTTCATTCCTAAAAGAATTGTATTTTATCTATGCTGAGTCTTTTATAAAAGCGGACTATGCTGAGGTCTTTTATATTGCGGACCAAAGCGAGCCGCAAAGTCTTTTTTTAGGCCCATGCAGATTTAAACTTCTCGCTAAACTTGTTATAGTGATATTACAAAATAAAATTTTTGTGATCTCTCGATATAGCGATAGTGTATTTGCTATTTTAAAAAACTTTATTAATAACTCATTCCTTTTATTACTTGTATAATTATCGTTGTATATTTTAATAAACAGTCATAGGACATGTCCTAATTAGTTTAATTACTTATAAAGACTATATACCTAATTTTATACGTATAAGAAAAAACTTCTTTTTTTTTTAATTTACTTAGGATAAAAGATAATTTTAAACTTTAAATATATACAAGTTTAAATATTAAGCAGTCAAAGAAGAATCTTGCGTTAATTTTTTTTCAAATAATTAATTTAAAGTAATTATATATGAATGCCGCCAAGAAAAAACCACGTTCGATTATATTTTGTGTACAGTTAACCATCTATGAAGAAGCTATTATTATGATAGATTTTCATAGATGGTTAACTGTACACAATGTAATTGAAACTTGGCGGCACTCGTATATATACTGTATATATACTGTATTAATTAAGATTAAAAATTTTTTTAATTCTAATATATATAGTTAAATTATAGTATTAAAATTAGCCTAATAAATTTTAAATTGATATATAAATATGTATAAGAATTTACAAATTTTATACTATAAAAATTAATTTGCAAAAAAGTAATAAATATAATTGTACAAAGTTTTATTTAAATATTTCAGTATTTTAAAAAAGTAAATTAGAGCTAAAAAAATACAAAACACAAATAAATTTGTCTATTTGTTATATTTAGCTATTTTTAAAAAGAGTTTTATTAGTAAAATTTTTATTACTGTAGTTAAAAGATAAAAATAATATTTTCTTATCATAATTACTTATCTCTTTATCATAATATTTTATCTTCTTATTATAGTATCTTATCTTCTTATCTACTTATTATAGTATCTTATTTTCTTATTATAGTAACTGTCGTATCCGTTTTCACTAATAGGGGTTTTAGGCTCGATTCACTTAGTCAGAGCACTCGCTTTGCGCACTGGCGTATCGTACCAGGCACTACCACCTATACTACTGT